TTTTTTAAAAGATTGGCTTTGTAATAAAAAATGTTTGGTGTAGATTAATTAGCTACCCAAAAAAAAAACTTTGAAGCGGTTTGGAACACTTGCTCTTGAGATGTGCTCACTGGAGCATAAAATGTATTTTTCTGGAGTTTGGCTATAACTCGGCTCAAAATGATTCAAATTTTCTCACCGTTGCGAGCGAGTGGGCGTCCTTGCACGTCCGATGGGCGGAGCGTCGGTGGGGGGAGGCGGGAATCAAAGTACGCAAACACCGAGTCTCACTTTTTTTATTCCGACAATAGATACGCAAAAATGAAAAATTATGAAAAATTTGTTATTTCCAAAATACAACGTTTTGTATGCATATTGTAGAGCAAGCGAAGACACACATTCTCCCAAAATTTGAGAAAATTTAAATCAATTTGTGCCGAGTTATAGGCAAACTCCAGAAAAATACCTTTTATGCTCCAGTGAGCACATCTCAAGAGCAAGTGTTCCAAACCGCTTCAAAGTTTTTTTTTTGGGTAGCTAATTAATCTACACCAAACATTTTTTATCACAAAGCCAATCTTTTAAAAAATTCTGACGGAAAATTGTTTTTTTTTACTTCTGGAGTCATCGTCACGTCTGTCAAAATTCAGGAGACACAAAAATTTATTGAGTTTCAAAATACTTACAAACCGATGTGTTAGGTATTTAGATACATTTAACAAAAAAGTTTTCGATGATTGGACAAGTTTGAGCAAAGTTATGAACAAAAGTATATAGTGACACTCACTAATGTTCGCCACTGTATCTCGGTTCCCGTCAAAGATATAAGAAAGAGGTCAACACTCAAAGTTGACGGTCTTCTATTAGCGTGTTTACGATGACCTATTTTTAGTTCTAAAGTGTCATTACCGACCTTTCGGAGAGATAATGAATACGTAAGAATCATCCAGATGAAGATCCCCAATACTATCCAATTCTTTCAGACAATGGATACACGATGTTTTGCATTATGACCCTCACTTATCTGCAGTTTCATTTTTAGTAAATTCTATTCATTTGGTAGTACTGGTTCAGAAATCAATGAGAACATCTTCCACAAACATTATATTGTTAGCAATTGCGGTTTCTAATTTGGCATACATGACTTACCCTATAATAGATGCGCTAAAAGATATTTACAATTCTATGAAACCATGGTAAGGTTTATGGTCATTGGACCCTTTTTTGAGGTTGTTGTTGTTGGCCTACTTCAACTTTATTACAATTTCTAAAAAAATTGCCTCAGTTTGAGCAATTTTGAGACGTGCTTGTGAGCAATTGCTCACGGGATGTCCGGGGTATCAGGTTCTTGTAGGAAGTGTTTAGGTTGCAATAACGATCCATTATAGCTAAACCGGGTTGAATCGTAACAAACAAGGAATAAAGCTTAGAAATCGAGCAAAAAACTTACATTCCTACAAAGAGTCAAGAACTACGAGCCTAATAGTAAACAAACGGAACCTTTAGACGGGGTTGAAGGTTACCTATCCCGGGCGACTGACTAGGGAAGGTTGTAATGGGGGGTGGAACTTCGGTATGAGACCTATATCATTCGAAAGCTGAGAATGAGACATTTTCAAATATGTATTCTGATTTTGCTGAGGAGCTACCAGTTTCGAGAAAATCGGGTTCGAAATCTGAGAAATTGCAAATGCAAAGGGGGGACCCCATGGTGATATTTTTTGCGAAATTTTTTTTTTTTTTTGAAAAAAACTTGAAAACTTTATGGGATCATTCTCTTTTATTCGAAACTTATGAAATACTTATGTTATATGCTTTGAAAAACTTTTTTTGAAGCATTATTCAAACTACATTTTGATTTTTGAGAGAAAGACATTCGATGATTGGTGAAAGATTTTGAAAGTTTTTTGATTGTAATTACAATTTCAAATGTTCCTCTACGATCTGACAAAGTTTTCTCGATTTTACAGAAAAGCAAATTTTGACGAAAAATATCCATGGGGTACCCCCTTGGCATTTTCAAACTATTTTTCGAAAATTTTTCAAATGTGCTAAAACGAATTCTAAACACACAGAAACTATAAAATGAGTCTTTTAGCAATAATTGGAAGCTTTATCCTTTTCGGAATCGAGAGCTTTTAATTTTTTTTCGAACATCCTACAATCCATATTTCTTCGATAATCCCCCAGTAGTACTCAAAACTTGAGAAAAAACATATGCACATTATCTCTTATTGATTTATCACTTTACAACCCCAATAACAAACAAGTCTTGTGGATTTTGAAATAAAGAACTGAAAAAAGACTTGTAGCGTTGCTTCAAGAAAGTTGCAAAAGCTATGGGGTATGTACTTTTCAAAACTTGTGAAAAAGTAAAAAATAAGTATCCAATTAAAATTTTTCTTCGAAAAAAAAATGCGTTCATAGCATTTTGAAGATCGCCACAAAAACCAAAAATAAAATCAAAAAACAATAACGGGAAGAGGAATCGAACCTACAACCGGTTGGATACTCTTCATCCCTCCTCGCCAATACACCACTGCTGTCTGGTTCTTCCCTTCCCCCAATCTATATAAGAAAGAGGGGAGGCGCGGCGCCCTTAAGAGTCAAATTTGAGCCAAATTTGAAACTTGATTTTCTCGAAACTGGTAGCTCCTCAGCAAAATCAGAATACATATTTGAAAATGTCTCATTCTCAGCTTTCGAATGATATAGGTCTCATACCGAAGTTCCACCCCCGATTACAACCTTCCCTAGTGAGCCGAACCAAATATTTTTTGCTGCTAATATAAATTGAAAGCCTGTTTTTCATCATCCAATAGTAACAAACAATGGTGAGGTTAAGAGATGTTGAACCTTGATTTTTTGAATGGAGACATTTCATTAAACGAAATTTTCATATTTTAGCATACTTCCGGATTCATACGCCTACGTAATCTTCTCCTGGATTTCTTATACCGTTCAAGATGACGTCCGGCGATGTGAAGCATTTTTATCTCTTGCAATGGCCTCCATAAGAACATTTGTGCTCAAATACCCTATGAAGTGAGTTAGCTCTATCTCAAAGTATCGTCCCTCGGTTATATTCTACTAAATTCAGATATGACGCCGCTACAAGTGTTTCTTTCGGATCGAAAACTTGTCTCATTCTATTTCTTCTCAGTTCCATCATATCTTCCATACATTTCCTAACAACACAAATAAACCCTGTCAATTATCTCAAATTAAGATGTAAAAAGGGATTTTCAAATGATACATCGGCTATAATGTATGTGTTGGAACCATCGACATTAGGAATGTGGAATCAGTCCTTGTTGACGAGGGTTCACATGGTATTGGATGCATTTTTTAGCAAGGTACGGTAGCTTTTATCTGTCTGAAATTTGAGATTACAAAATTTCAGATTTTCCCAGCTGTTCTATTTCCCATTCAGACTCTCTTGCTAATTTTTCAAATTCGAAAAGTCAAGTCAAAATCTCGAAACAAAATGTTTTCAGACCCAAACCAAAACAAGTAGTTCCTGAAATCGAAAATGTCAAATTTCCGCCCGAATTTCAGAAACTCGGCAACTACAAAACTAGTATTTTTGAACACAATAGTGTATGTGACTTCCACGCTTCCCTCTGGAATTTTCTATGTCCTCCACTCATACGATATTGCTTGGCTTGTGGAGGTGTAAGTCTTTTTTGGAATTCTGACTAAATCCTGATAAAAATTTCAGAAACTTAGCGGATTTTGTATTCGCGTTGAGATTCCTAACATCCCTCATGACATTAACACATTTTCCAATTTGTTTGGCAATGTCTACACAGTATCGGAGTACGGTACTGGGATTATTGAGATTTAAGAAAGAATCTGGAACTACGGTAGAAAATTTCTGAATAGGGAGTGGACAATGTGGAAGATTTCAGGTTATCAAAGCAAACTCAATTAGCGGAAATCCAACTTAAGTGACAAAAGGCTTTTTCTAGTGGATTCCTTCAGTTATAGTTATCACGTACTTCTAAATCGTGAGGTAGTACCTGAATTCTAATTATTCAAAGAATGTGTCCTCTATATTTTTTTAAATATTCTCACACCAAGTAATTTTCTTGAAAACAAATCCATGGTGGGACAAAAAATGGTCTAGTCGGATTCATTTCTTCGTATTGTTTTCCAACGGAACCTCAGTATAAAATGCATGTCCAACGGAACAGGCCTTCAAACTTGTGTGTGTTTTTTTGAAATTCAGAAACCTCTAATTCGACAACGTCATGGAAAGGTATGATTCATTCAGATTGAAGATTCCCAGAAAAAATTTTTTCAGACAGTGGATGTACTCTCTTAAATGGTATACACCTCACTTATCAGCAGTTTCATTTTTAGTGAATTCCATTCATTTGGTGGTACTGGCTCAGAAATCAATGAGAACATCTTCAACAAATATTGATGTCAAACCAAGATGATGTCAAACGATGTGACGCTTTTTTAGGTCTAGCAATGGCTTCCATTAGAACATTTGTGCTCAAGTTTCCGATGAGGTAAGTGAGCTCTATCTTTTAGTATCGTCCCAAACAGGTTCACTCGATTGTACTGCACTTGTTTCAGATCTCGTACCGCTACAAGTGTCTCTTTTGGTTGGAAAAATTGTCTTATTGCATTCCTTCTTAGTTCCATTATCTCATTTGCACGTTTCCTCGGAACAGATATAGCTTATGTTGGTAACATTGAATGGGAATGTTACGAGGAATCGAATCCAAATAAAACATCTTTTGATTTGTACATTATGGTACCGTCAACACTATTCGAGTGGAATGAATTCTTGTATTCCAAGATTTATATGGTAATGAATGCGGTTTTCAGTAAGGTAAATTACCTTTAGCTGTTGGAATTTCAAGATTGATTGATTTAGATCATTCCACCTATTATGTTCCCTATTCTTACCATTTTTCTTATTGTTGAGATCCGGAAAATCGCGAAATCCCGAAATCAAATGTTTTCAAATTCTAACCAGAACAAGTACCTCTACAAATTATTATTTTTCAAATTCCCTCCCACATTCCAGAAACTCTGCAACCACTAAATTTGTAATTTTCAACACGATTACCTATGTGATTTCCTCATTTCCCGCGGGAATTTTCTACCTCATCTACTCCTTCTTTCCATTATGGTGTCTTGATGTGTAAGTGTTCTTTTGGGGCTCAAAGATGCAAGAAATTTCCAGAGGATGTCTCGATTTCCTATTAGTTTTTGATTTTCTGACATCTTTCATCACCTTGACCCATTTTCCAATTTGTTTGGCAATGTCTACACAGTATCGGAGTACGGTATTGGGTTTTTTCAGGTCTAAGGATAGTTCTGGAACTACGGTAGACAATTTTGAACATGGGGTTGAAAATGTGGAAGATTTCAGGTATTGAAAGCAAACACAGTTAGTGCGCATCCAATTCAAGGGACTATTAATTGAGTCGCATATTTTCTATTATTTCATTTAAAGGAGGCGAGACAGCAAAAATTTCGGGGGCAGTTCGGGGGACGAAATCGCGCCGCGCTTATGTAGACCATCGGTCGTCAGGCGCCTTCGCGCCCTCGTAGCTCAGCCGGTAGCGGCGCTGTACCCCTGAGCTGCCTGTCATGAGTTCAACCCCTCATGGGCATACTTGTAAAATTCCGGGCCGGGCCTGAGGAAATTTTCAAGGCCCGGACCCGGCCTGGAAGGCCCGGTGTCAAAAATTCTGTATTTTTGAGCCAAATTTTGAGCTCTCAATATTTTTTTCCCATTTTTTTTTCGTATTTCGGATTGTTTGTCTGTCTGATCAAAAAAGATCGAAAAACTCGAAAAAAAATTTTTGGTCGAAAAAATCACATAAGGGTCCCCCCTTATGTGTTTTTTGAAAATTTCGAAACTAGTGAAATGACGGGCCGGGCTCGGGCCGGGCCGGGCCGGGCCTCCGAAATTCCGGAAAAAGCCCGGCCCGGCCCGTTACAAGTATGCTCATGGGGGTTCTCTATGCAAAATATCAGGAAAACTTTTTTTTTTGGGTTTTTTGTCGAACTTTTCCAATTATTCGCTTTTCTCTCACTTATTTTGAGTTGTGCTTATTGATTTTTTACGTCAATAAATCGTTTTGAAATATCATTTTTTTATAGTTTTTTAGTTTAAAAAATGGGTCGAAAGCGGCAATGATACAAGTGAATGATAAAGCAAAACCCGGTAAACCCCAGCTCAGAAAGCAACTCCAGCCTTAAAGTACAGCCGATTCGGTCCGTACGCAAGTTTTATACCGTCTAACCTGTAATAAAACCCTACACTATCAGGGTTCAGCTAATTTTTCTTGGCTCCTGTGCAAGATAACAAAAATGTGCCAATTGACAAAATGTTTGTGATATTATGATAAGAAATTTATCAGTTGACAACTTTTTCAAAAATCGATTTTTCAAAGTTTAATTCAAAATGTTTTTAACACAACCGGAAAGGTTTTGATACTATGTGTATATGTTTTCTAATGAGCCTTTGATTCAAAAAAAAAAACCAGACTTTCTTTTAATTATTCAGAGAATGTTCCCCATGTCTATCTTACTTTTTCAGATTCTCACACCCGGAAATTTCCAGACTAAAAACATTCATTGAAGAACAACTTCTAGACATTTTTCTTGGAAATTTCTTAAGTTTTGAAAATTTTCATTTCTCCGAAGAAATGCGGAAACCTAGATATAAAATGCTGTTCAAATGAATAAGTTCTTTGGTGTATACAATTATAACCAGTCGGTTTGCGCCCCTTCGGGGCTGAACCTCCTGGCCTCCGGTTACAGTACCCGTAATCTTATAAAAGGGCCTGAAAATTGGAAATTGCGAAATTCAGTGTATGAGGAATTAGAATTGTCAATATACCGAATTTCCTTTAGAAGAAGCTCATAGACTTCTATTTTTCAACATCTTTTTTAGAGTGGACTTCTATTAGAGGGTCGTTTTAAATTTTTCAACGAATTATTTTCAAAAAAAAATTTTATTCGAAAAATCTGAAATTTGGAAATTCGAAAGTTAAGAATTCTGAAATTAAGTGTTTTGATAAATTCGAAACTTTCATACTGCAATTCTAAATTTCAAAATTCTGAATTTATGCAATTCTGATATTCCAGGATTTAAAAATTTGAAATTCAGGAATTCTAAAATTCCGGAAAAAAACTCTGAAATTCTAAAAATCTGAAATTCCGAAATATAGAAATAAGAAAGTTCAGAAATTGAGAAATTGTCGAGTTCTAAAACCTCAGTTCCAAAAATTCTAGAATTTTGACTTACATTATTTTTTCTAGTTGAAGCCCATGGGCTTCTAATAGAGGGTGGTCTTCTATTTTTCGAAGCACCTCGCGGGGTGGTTTTCTATTAGAGGAAATACGGTATTAAGAATTTATAGAACTTCAGCAGGAAATTTCGAAGTTCGAAAACTTCAATTTTAAAGATCTTGTTAGAGGTTTTTTAAATTTTGAAATTCTGAGTCTAATTCTGGAGTTAAAACTGTGAACTCAGTTTACACTTTTAAGGGGCTGAACCTATTTTATTGAATATCTCGAAACTCAAAAATTTGAAAACTCAGGAATTCAGAAATCGAAAATCCAGGAATATGCGAATTCGGAGGTTCTTCTTCGATTTTGAACCAAAAACTCATATTTTTCCAATTTTCAAGTTTCCGAGTTTTCAAATTCTCTAGCTTCTGGAGTTTTTAATTTTTGAGTTTTTAATTATATGAACATCGGGAAATTGGTGAATTTAGGAAGTGTAAGGCCAGAGATTTGGATTCAAACGCCCACAGTTTGAAACCTCTTCATATACTTACGTCGTATTCCAATGAATTTATTATTCTGTTCTAGATGATGTCAGACGATGTGACGTTTTTTTCGGCATCGCAATGACCTCAATTATAACATTTGTGCTCGAGTTCCCGATGAGGTAAGTGAGATCTGCCTTAGCGCTTTGAAGCTAGGGTGTAAAATTTGGATAATCTACAGTACCATTCCAACCAACTATTATGGTACCTTTTTCAGTTCCGCCACCGCAACAAGTGTTTCTTTCGGATCGAAAATCTGTCTTAATATCTTTTTCCTTAGCTCCATTTTCTCCTTTACACATCTTCTAAGAATGCAAGTGGTTCGTGTAGATTATGGTGAATGTTATGGACAATTTCTGAATGGAACATCTGTTATAGTGTACACAACGCTACCATCGGAACTAACAGAGAGGAATGGGTACTTGTTTATGAAGGTCCAACTAGCAGTGGATGCTATTTTCAGCAAGGTGAGCTACCTTTCAGTTGTCTGAAAATGAATATTGAAAGGTTCAGATCATCCCAGCTGTTCTATTTCCGATTCGGACCTTCTTACTTATTGTAGAGCTTCAAAAAATCGAAGAATCCCGAAGCAAGATGTTTTCAAACTCCAACCAGAACAAGTAGTCCAGAAATTTTATATTTTTAAATTTCTGACATATTTTCAGAAGCCCCACAACCCCAAAATTCGTGTTCTTGAACACAGTTGCATATGTGATTTCAGCACTCCCCACTGGAATTTTGTATATTCTCCATTTTTATTACCAAAGTGATGTCTTGAGGTGTAAGTATTTTTCGCAAGGTCTAAACTAAGAAGACATTTCCAGACAATGTTACGATTACCCAGATGCGTTGACAATGATGACATCGCTTATGACATTTTCCAATTTGTTTGGCAATGTCTACACAGTATCGGAGTACGGTACTAGGATTATTGAGAATTAAGGTTGAATCTAGGACTAGGGTAGGATGTTTAAAATTAGAGTAGAAAATGTGAAAAGATTCCAGGCGCTCAGTCCGAACGCAATCAGTGGGAATACAACTTAATTGGAAGTGAATTATGTCGTCAATTCCGAATTCTGTAGATTTTTTATACCGAATTCAAACCAAATCCGTATATTTGTTCCGATAAAATTTTTTTTATAGCCTCAACAATTTTTTTTCAGAGAAAAATAAATATAAATTGATATACGGTAAAACATGTAATATGTAGAAGGGACCCCTACCTACGAAATTTGCGTCAATTTATCTCCGTTCCTATAAAAAATATCAAAAAGTTGTCAGATAAATTGTTTATCAGTGAATACTTTTTTGATATCTTGCGTAGGAAACGAGATAATTGAGCTCAAACTTAACAGTGTAAGGACCCTTTTATTACAGGTTTTACCACTATTAAACACCTGCTAACCCTCATAATACCATTCGATAAGAACACCTATTGTCCAATTAGCCCATCTTGCCTATCTTGATCTTCTTTCCCTCGAGACATCGTTCCAATACAGTCTGTCATCTGGTATCTGCCATTTAGATGTCGCGTACTAGCAGATAGACAGTTTGGTCTTCTTTTTCGTCTCCTTTTTTAGTGTCTAACCGATCAATACCGTATTATTTGATTTGCATTCTATCGTTGCTTTCTTCCAGAATAACTCCGATCTCCGCCCAACTCGACCATCTTCTCAGCGAGGATTAAAAACTCCTCACCGCCAAAAACGAAAAGCTCAAAAAAGTAATTCGTGATCAAAAGAGAGCGAATGGTCTGAAGAGACTTGCTATTCGTCAAGAAGCCGAAGACAAGAAGTGGTGGGACGGTCGACGTGAATTCTGTTTATACATTGTTGGACTCACTGTTTTCGTCTGGATGTTTGTGTTAGTACTTATTGTACTTCTCCGTAAATTATTTTTTGATTACTTTTATTCAAATTCCCTCATCGGTCTCTCACGCTGATCATCCTCCGTCACCTGTCTCACTTGGTCACAATGGGGAAAGCAGATATTATCTACTTTCCCAAAATCCGCTAACCTGTCTAAACGCACCATGGAATTTTCCCTAACCTGGCTCATTAATAGAATCAAATATGGGATTTTCCATAATAATAGTCTTTGGGTTAATGTATCTCGGTTCCTGTAAAAGATATCAAACAATTTTTAAGAGCAAAAATGTTTGTCTTAAAATCAGCAACATTTCATTAGTTGACAAAATTTTGATATCTCAAACATTAAACGAGATAATTAGGGTGAAAGGGAGGATCTTTTTTAGTTTTACAGGTTTCAAAAGTGAAAATTCAATAGATATTTAAACGTGATGAAAAACAAATGGTATTTGCGAAAAAAAAAAGTTTTGAAGAGAAAAAAATTAAATTTCAGACCAAAAACGCTACGTAGAAAACCCACGACCCACAATGGCCCATTGACCTCGGGGAGAATACTATAAAGAAAGAGAGAAATGGAGGAAAGAATCAGTTCTCCTCTTCTCTGGGGTCTGGAGAAGGAGGAGAAGGAGTCAGGGGTTCCAGCTGGGTTCTGGGTCCTGGGTATTTTTTTAAGTCATGGCCTAAATTTCAATTTTTAGTTCGTGACCTAGATTTTTTTTTGGTCATGACAAGACCTGAAAATCATGATCTAAAAAATAAGACCTAGGTCATGATCTAAAAAAGAAAATTTAGGTCATGACCTAAAAAATTAGATCTAGGTCATGAACTGAACAATAAAATCTAGGTTATGACACAGGACCCAGGACCCGGCTGGAGCCCTTGGTTTCCAGGTGGAGCTCCTGGCTCCTTCTCCTCCTTCTCCGGACCCCCGAGAAAGTGAGAACTGATTGTTCCCTCCATTTCCCTCTTCCTTTATAGCATTTTCCCTGAGGTCAATGGGTTTCTACGTAGATTCTTTGGTCTAAAATTTAGTTAGTTTTCTTCAAAACGTTTTTGCTAACAAATAATTTTTTTCACCACGTATTCAAATAACCGTTGAATTTTCGAATTTTGAAATCTATGTATCGTATTAAAAAAATCTTTCCTTTGACCTCAGTTATCCAGTTTCTTGTGAAGGATGTCAAAAATTTGTCAACTAAGAAAATGTTTTTGTTATTATGATAAACATTTTGTTAGTTGACAACTTTTTGATACCTTTCTCAGGAAACGAAATAATTGAGCTCAAAGTTGACAGGCAAGGTCGGCCAAATGTTTAATAAAACTTTTTTCATGTCCCTGCTTCTTTAACAAACTTTTTGCGGGTACTGTAACTACACATACCGCAATATTATGAACTGTTTTCCCTCGAACCACATTCAATGTCCCCCCTGAACACTGGGTCTTTTTCCCATGCAATGCGTCAAGGACCTTTTGTTTGCAGGCCCATTTGGAAAGAAACGATTCGATATTGATTTTACAGGTTATTGATTTTCCAAGGTCATACTCTCATCTTACCCCTTCTCTTTTTTTCGCCGTTTCTCAGTTTCTATTTCTCTTGGCGTTCAGATTAATCGTTGTATCATTCCAGAATGGGAAATCTACACTCCAACATCACTGAGCGCATTCAAAGGACCCGATTTTTCGAGAAGAAATGGTTCGATGGAATTGTAACACGCTTCCGGAAGCTTCGCAATGAGATCGTCGCCAAAATCTGGGCCTGCTTTGCGGTTTTCCGGTTTGAAGAGGTCAGATATCAGCACGTGGGTCTAGGAGCCAGACAGACTATCATGAGGGCACCACCGAATCATACCATCAAGGCATTCAGAGGAGAGTATCAGAATCCGATGTCGTTCTGGATGTATCAGGAACGGATTCGTGAGAATAATCGAAATGAATTGAAGATCTTGTTTTTTGTGGGCTTGGTTAATGTTTTCTGGATCTTTCTGTGTCTTTTTTATTTTCTTATGTGAAGTTCAAAAGCTATGGGTTAATAAATCTTGATTTCAAATTTTCTACCGTAGTTACAGTACTCTGACCTCAGTTTCAGCAAAAAATTCATTTATTTTGAAACAAATAGTTAATTTAAAAAACTATCTAACGAAAAAAAAAACACACAAACATCATTTGTCATACTCTCCAATACTTGTGCGGAATGTCGACACATCCTTCTGGCTTCTGCCATGGAAGCGTTTTCCAGCTGCCATTCTCTTCAACGGAGCACTTTTGTATTTTGTCCGATCGTAGACAAACAGTGAGGCGTTTCTTTCTGAAAGTATGCAATTTTTGATAAAACAATGTTTTTTCATGATTACTTACTGCGAATCTCGTTGTCCGACATCTCCATTCGTCAAGCAGTAAAGCGAAGAGCTGGCGGGAGATCGCTGAAATAGGAATTTACTGGGTTTAAAACAAAAATTTGATTGTTGGCTGCACCGTGGAGTGATGGACGAAGGACGTGGGGGGGGGGGGGGTCCTATGAGATCCGCCAAGTGGACTGGAAGCCAGAATAGCAGGTCCCGCACAAACTCCATTTGGGCCGAAGTCTTCCAATCGTCGGCCTTTGCCACCTTTTTGTAGATGTGCAAAAAGTAGTGACCGGTCCTGGGCATCTCTTCCTCCACATCCTCGGGCTTCCACCATTTTAGAAGAAGAGCTGCCTTGTCGGCGAAGACTTCGAGATTACGAGCTCTGGAAATAAATATAAATTAATGAGAAAGTTATTAGATTTTTTGATTTATCATCTAATAGAATTTTTTCTTAATATTTAGGCAAAAACTAAACTTTCGGCACCAAAAATTCCGGTTTCCGTGCAAGACAGCGATTTCGTTATACGTAAAATCTCTAATAGAACGACACCCGGATCGTCCACTTTGAGCCTATATATCTCACTTCTTTTGAAAGATATCAAAAAGTGGTTAACTAGTAAAATGTTTATCAGGATATCAGCAACATTTTACTAGTTAGCCACTATTCGATATCTTTCACAGAAAATGAGATATATAGGCTCAAAGTGGACGATCCGGGTGTCGTTCTATTAGAGGTTTTACGGTATTTTCAAAAACATTGAAACTGTTGAAGAAGTTTGTTCTCACCTTTAACTTCTCGCAGCGACTCGAAGAGCAGTAGAAAAACTATTCAGAAAAATACTAGAAAATTACTCTTTCCGAATCCATTCCGAACAGGATTCTCTGGATAGAGTAAGAATAATAGATATTTAGAAAAATAAGGTGTTCTTCCAGAACCCATTCATTCAAAGGGTTCATGGGAAAAACACCAGAATATGGAGACACATACACACTGCGCCAGAAGTAGACGAATGAGTAAAATGGGTAAGAACGAAGAGAGACGGGCGGTGTGGGCGTGGCTAACGTTCTGTGTACGTAGACAGGCCTGGTGTGTCCACTCGTTTGGGAAAATATAACTGCAGAAGAAGAGACAGTGATCTCTGCGTCTTCATGATTTTACTATACTCTGACATCCGCAAAGAGGTGATACTTTTGAAATGTCAAAGAAAAGAGCATAATGAGAGGGAGAGGGGAGAGACATCCAACAGAAGTGACGTAATATGATATTCAAATTAACGGACTGGGAAAAAAAGAAGACAATCTTCATTAATTAAAGGTGGGGGGACATGAAAAAAATAATGTTCTCGAAATTCCGTTCAAAGATGCCTCTCGAGGAGTTGAACTTGTGAAGGCGATGATTGAGGGTGCGGCGCCGCTACCGACTGAGCCACGCGGGCAAAGAGAAAGCGCACGCCCGATTGCATACATAAAGGCGAGGACGACAGCTGTACGCAGAGTGACATTAAGCGTTGTACACCGTCACGGTAGAATGCATACTCTAGCTACAAAAAAACTACGAAAAATCTCCTGTCCCCCCACCTTTAATTAAGAAGTTTGTGTTAATTACAAAAAAGATTTTAGAAGGAAACTGATGTCATGTGATTCTAAAAACGTCGTTTAATTCATTGTAACTGAAAAAAGTTTTTCCGCTAATTGAGTGGGAATCTGAAACTTTTCAATTTCCGAAACTACTTGTTTTCGTTGGAGTCTGAGAACATCCTGTTCCGAGATTCTTCGATTTTTTGAAGCTGGAGAATCAGTAAAAGCATAGTTGCAAAAGGCCGGACCGAACCGGGCCGGGCCGGGATAAGTCGTTTTTGTTTAAATTTTGTGAAAATTTCAAAATTTCGAAAAAAATGTGAAATAATTCAAGGTCTGCACGGACCCCAAGCCGGCACTTCATTGGCCCGACCTGGCCCGACCCGCCGAAATTCTCGACGGGCCGACCCGCGGGCCGGCCCGAGATTTTGCAACTATGTGTAAAAGGGTAAGAATAGGAAATAGAACAGCTGGGATGGTCTGAACATTTTTATCCTAAATTTCCGACAGCTACAAGATACTTTACCTGGCTGAAAATTGCATCCAACGCCATCTGAACCCTCGAAAACAAATATTCGTTCCACTGTGATAGTTCTGATGGCAACACGTTATACATTTCACCAGATGTTTTATTTGAAAAACGCTTGTAACATTCAATTTCTGAATCTGACCAGTAACCAGGTACTACTTCAGTACTCAACAGATATGCAAAGGAAATGATGGAACTGAGAAGAAAGAGAAGAAGACAGGCTTTCCGTCCAAAAGAAACACTAGTAGCGGTGTTAGTTCTGGAAAAGGTACAGTACTTTTAATTGGATGTATTTTGGGAATAGAGTTTGAAAAAAAGACACATAGGCTGTTCTCTCTCCCTGAACGACACCCTAAACCCTGCCATGGCTTATTATCATCGAATGCACACTTCATCCAATTTATAATAGGATAAGCCATGTATATCACATTAGAAACCGCAATTCCCAACAATATAATATTTGTTGAAGATGTTCTCATTGATTTCTGAACTAGGACAACCAAATGAATGGAATTCACTAAAAATGAAACTGCTGATAAGTGAGGGTCATAATGCATAAGGTCGATTATCCATTGGCTGAAAATTTTAAATAGTAATGGGAAACTTTATAAATCTTACGTATTCATGGTGCTTTTGTTCAAAATCTGCAGCTGTTTCAAGTTTGCTAACTCGAAAATTCCAGCCGTTTATAGGACTTCTCAGAGTCTGGACTATGATTATCTTTTCAAAAAATCAAAACTATACTAGACGGAAGTTTTTCTGAAAAGTGTTTTCAGATTTTTCTGATTAGTTTTACACGTTTCGGCAAGGAAAATCACTATGTTCTTTGGTTTCTAACTCTGCACAAGCCAAAATAAGGTATACTTTGCTTCAAAGCAAATCTGATTTTTTCAGTCTAACAATCAAATTTTTGGAAATCTGTTCTTTTGATAAATTCTAGAATTTATGCAGACACGTACATTTTGAGCTCAATCGTCTCGGTTCCTATACGAGATAACGAAAATCTGTGAACTGATAACATATTGGTGATTTCATGATAAATAATTTATCAGTAGACAAACTTTCAATATATTTTATAAGAACCGAGATAATTGAGCACGAATGCACAGATATCTTTTTCATTGTCTTTTTTTCAGGAACAAAATAATCGATTTACTCATACGTTTATTAAATGAACACAAGTCCCAAAAAAGATACAAGTCCAGCATTGTGACAATAAAGCAAACAGGAATTAAGACAAACAAAAAAGTTATACGGAACATCGACTCATTGTTCTGGTTTCTCTCACACTCTGCTTTCCAATATCTCCAAAATGGTTCCTCAAATCCTTCGATAGATTGTGTCGATATTGAAGTCGGCCTCTCCGTCGTAGTCTTCTTCGCAATTTCCTTGCTTCGAGAATTTGGCGCTGATCGAACTGCAAAGCAATAGTTTGTGTTTTTTCGAAAGATTTTTTTTCGAAAATGGGTAATTTCGAAAAATAAATTCGAAAATTAAAGTTCTTAGGAACAGTTTTCGAAAGTTTCTAGAAGGAAATGGTCTAACATGACTCGGGTGTGTTTTCTGGGTGTCATTTTGACATGGTTGCCTAATTTTTGCAAGGTGGGTTTTCTAGGCCACCACGTTTAAATAGGCTAGAAAACACACTAGATGAATACCAGACCCAAATTTTCATGACCCATAAAACACCCATGATCTGTTTGGTTCTTGTAAAAAACTGAAACATACCGTCATTTCGTATTCCTACATCTTCAAAGTTCTTCCTCCAATTTCAACTTTGAAGCGTGGACACTCGTGAAGCGTGGACACTCGTTGACGATCTCGTTTGGCTTCTGAAAATGTTTAATTTAAAACTTTGTTGACATTTGTTGCGTAGGTCAAAAAGAAGATTTACAGTATGCTTTTTCCTCACCATGAATATCCGGAATGTTTTCCAAAGTAATGCCGAGGACCAATGTGATGTTCTTTCAAAGAGCGCGCTCCGTCAAATCCTTGGTTCTAGCGAAATCGGACATGTCGCAGTCCTTTTCGATCCACTCGACATCCCGATGCTGTGCTCACGGAACTTGGCAAGAAGGCAACTCTTGAAGTCACTGAAAATATGCCAGTTTCAGTCGAGTTATAGCATTTTCAGTACCAAAAATCCCGACTTCAGTGCTAAACAGCGATTTAAAAAATGATTTTCTCTACTTGCAGGACGAAGAAAATTTTAGATTTCAAAACATTTCTGAGTTTAAGATGTTTCTAAATTTCTGAATTTCTGAATTTCTGAATTTCTGAATTTCTGAATTTCTGAATTTCTGAATTTCTGAATTTCTGAATTTCTGAATTTCTGAATTTCTGAATTTCTGAATTTCTGAATTTCTGAATTTCTGAATTTCTGAATTTCTGAATTTCTGAATTTCTGAATTTCTGAATTTCTGAATTTCTGAATTTCTGAATTTCTGAATTTCTGAATTCCTGAAAAAAATAAAGCGACGGGCGGGTGTCACACCCGGGCGGGTCGGGCGGGTGGAATTCGCGTGAGATGGAAAGCTTACTTCAAACTATAGAACTCAAGACTTCGAATCTAGAAGAAAAAGTTTTCTTTTCGTATCTTGTGAAGTAAAAAACCTACAAATAACACAAACAACATGCAGTCGGGAAAAAAGAAAAAGGAAACGTGCTAATTTTCGTTCTTTCTTGTTTTCCCAGGATCCCCTAACTAGTAGAATTAGAGGAAAAAACAACGGGATCTGTTTGGTTATATATTCCGTATGTATTCAAATGTCAAAGAATTTATTAGTAATTGAAAAAAAAAGAAAAGGGATGTGGACCGAAAATTATAAAGATTTTAATACTTGAATTTAGGGGGAAAGCGGGACATCAAAAATGAAAGAATAAGCCGTTTTCCTACCCCTTCCTCTTTTTCTTCATGTCACTAATCTCTTTTTGGAAATTGCCGAAAAAAAGAATTTCGAAATGTTTCTAAGATTTCAATGTTGAGAGACCAATGTTGAAAATTTTTTTCATCCATAAAAGAAAAAAAAATTTAATGATTTTGACTTTTGGAAATAGGCTCTTGAGGAGTTGACCTCGTAGGCAGGCAGAGCTTGGTTGGCGGCCGGTCACCCGGCGGTTGGCGATCTTTATTTTTGAAGAAGCCTCACATACCATCGCTCCGATAAAACCACATTTTGACTCACATTTTTTTTGAATTTCCCTCCGAAATGTTTGAATGGAGAAACTCAGAGAAAAAGAAATGATTCATGTCAACTCCGTTTGTCTTTTATTTTCCCGTTCATTCTTCTTTCAAACACCCCAAATGGCTGGTATCTGATTTTCCACCGGCCTCAAATTTCTTTGATTTTTAATAATATTCCCTGCTTCAAAATGGTCCGTATTCTCTATTTTCTGGGAATTATTTGGCTGAATTTTCTTGAAAATAGGCGAGTTTGATTCTTTTCTGCTTTCGAGATTAAATTGATATGTCGAATTTTGAAAGCCCACCTCAATTGTCAACTTTGAACCTAATTGTCTCGATTTCTGTGAGAGACGACAATAATTTTTCAATCGGTGAAATTTTGGTGATTTTATAGAAAATATTTCACCAGTGGACAGATTTTTTATATCTCTCATAGGAACCAAGTTAATTAGGCTGAAAGTGCATGCATAGGGTGGGCTTCTGTTAGAAAAACTACTGTAGCTCCCATTTAATCCGCCATGTTTCAGTAATGCTCGATTCTAGTCTTGCACGTCATCACTTGTTTAATCGTTCGCGAACTACCAAATTACTGTTGAAAAAGTTGAGGATGTTAAGTGGAGAATGTTACTGAAAATCCCACTACTACATGCACTGTTACTGGAAAGCAGCGTATGTGACTATGGTTTTTTCTCCGAAATATTTTATGGTTTATTTTAGCACCCTTATTGCAACAGTCCGTCCATAAATTCGACCGATGCCAACTCTTTTCTCAACCACTACTTCTCTTGCAATAAAATGAACCGAGTGTCGAGAAGCAAGCTCGATTATTAATAATTCTCCTTTGTACTTTGATCACCATCACCTTCGTACTGTTTTTCCAATCCTTGTACTTTGTGATTCACTAATCCGACTGCCCATCCACTTCACTACTGATCCAACCACGCGATCTATCTAGTTCGTTAAAATCGCATCCCTTCCAGTCTCCGCCCATTAAATGCAGTAAACCGAGTATGTTCTATATAAAAGGAACCCCAGTTCTCTCATATTATATTTTCCCATCAAATAGATTGTGTTAACAAATTAAGAATTATTCTACCACCGAAACGACCGAACACCAAGTACGATATACTTGGAAACTGTGAGGGTTGTTTTTCTGAACATGATTTCAACTGAAGCTGAACAGAATAAACGGGGAATTTCGACGCTAAAATTGATTCTTGTAAAAGATGGGATCAACAATGAAAACATTTTCCAGACATCTCAAATCCTTCTTCAAACTACCAAAGTTTGAATTGGATTTCAATAAATGTTTTGCCAATGATCTTTTGCTAGCCGAGATCAAAAATTCGAAGTACTTTACATTTTCTTTTTCAACAATTCAAAGCATTTTTTCAGACCCGCTGAAGTTGTTGAACATTTGACCAATCAACCAATCGAAATTCGCAGAATTACCAAGGGGACTTTTAGGTGAACAGAATGATTCTAATTTATGAAGTTTTGTTATATTTCAGAACATCCGACCAGCCAACACCAACCACGGCTCCGTGACGTCTCCTCGAATTAGAAAAATTACCGTTGTTTGATGCAGATGCAGTTCAAGAAAAACTTGCTATCATCACAGAACAGTTGACTTCAGGAAATATCATTGGAGACACTGAAAGTTTTATTCGAAATATTTGTGATGGTTTGATTGGATTCATTGGAAAACGGACTTTTTCATGGGGATCGGGATGCTCGTCATATTCATAATTTTCAGCATTGATTTTCTGGGAGATTTGCCGGGAATATCGAAGAAGTTGTGGTCAAATATCACGGTCAAATACTTTGGAAGAAATACAGAAAAAATATTTTTTTTTTCCATTTTTGACATTTGCTTAATTTCCCTATTCTTTTTGTTTTTTTTTCAATATTATTTTCAATAAAAGTTTGATTACCCAAGTTTGAGGTTCTGTTGGCATCGTGAAAGGTTCTACAAACAGTGATGGTTTCCCGGGGACAAATTCCGAAAATAAGAAAATTAGGATCAAAATTACTTACTACTAATTTTAGGATATCCCTTTTCGGGCGGCCCGTATGACCAGTATCATATCGATCAAACGTCAGGCCCTACTTAACAAAACCCAAAAAAAATTCACCTGTTTTCCAGCCAACTCATTTTCCGTATTCTTAGTAGCCGGTGTTTTTTATTTTGTCTCTTCTCCTCCACATGAAATTCATTTGAATGTATGATATTGATTTTTCCATTCCTTACTGGCTTATCACCTATTATCACGTCATTGGTATCATCTCACTGATTTTTGACGCATTTTCCATTTATCTCATTCTGTTCAAAAGCAGCAAAATCGATAATTTCAGATACTTTTTGTTGAATTTTCAGGTGAAATTTTTGAAAAAATTGAACTTTTTGGGTCATTTTCAACTTCAAATTTTTAGCTAGCTTGTTGTTTTACTGATATCCATCTAACGTTTCTTATGCAACCTGTACCTTTATATCCATTGGTATCTGGGTATATTTTGGGATTTTTAGCACAATTTGGAGCTACTACTCATCATTGTATGGTGAGTTAACAGAGAAACAATTTAATAATGACACCGTAAACACTCATATAGAACGCTACCCGGACCGTCCACTTTCAGCCTGTGTATCTCACTTCTTTTGAAAGATTTCAAAGAGTTGTCAACTAACAAAATGTTTATCATGATATCAGCAACATTTTATTAGTAAGCAGCTTCGTGATATCTTCCACGGAAATGGTCATGGTCTCAAATTTGACGATTCGGGTGGCGTTCTATTAGAGTGCTTAAGGTAACTAGGAGATTTCAGAATATAGTGATTGCTTGTCTCATTTATCAAATCGAATCGATGATTTTTTGTTTTGTCCGGAAACACCAGGCCATTGCAAACACCTTGAAAAAGTTTATAATGCCTGGTTGGCTGGTTTGGTTCTTATTTTTCTTTTTCGCATTTGACATTTGTATGGTAGTCGGAATGTATGCACAAACTTCTATGGACCAGAATGCTCAATTTGATTATATTAGACAGGTAACTACGGTTACTGCAGGTTACTGTAGTTTCCTCTAATAGTTTCAGAACTACCCAGAATATCTCTCTGGATTCCAGTCCCTTCCGAACTTTTCAATTTATGACCCTGATACTTTTTTTGTGGTTACTGTCCTCTTTGCGGTCACTTGTGGAATTGTTTCATTTTTCATACTTTGCCTGATTCTTGCAAACATTTTCCGGATGTTGGGAATTCTTAAAACCCAAATATCTGCTTCGAATTATCAAAAACATCGAGCTGCGATTTGGAGTTTGTTAGCTCAATTTGCCACGTCATCAGTTTGTGTGGTACCGCCCATATTCTTTGTGTTTGTGGTTCTGATAGGCATCGATGGAGCTCAAAGTAAGACTTTTCTCAAAAAAAAAAATTATAAAAATTTGCACTTATTTTCAGTTATTGTGGAATTCCTCCTAGTTATTGCCTGTTTACATTCTTCCCTAAATGTAACAGTTCTAATTATAACATTTCCACCGTATAGAAAATTTGTAGTTTCGCTAATTTTTAGAGGAGACGAACGGTAAGGGTTGAGAAAGTTTTTAAAACAATTACAATTATTTTCAGAAAGTTGAAATCTCGAATTGGAAATTCTGGGATAACATTGAGGCCTTCATCCATAGTTATTGCTCATAGTTAGTTTTTGCAAATGTTTTGAGTTGATCTCAATGAATTATTGGAACCTGAATTCATGATGCATGTTTTTATTTGCAAACCAAGTTATCAGCTGTTTCTTAAAATTGATTCCTTGGCTACTTTTCGAATATTGTAGTACCCTTGTTGACCTTGTCGATCATACTTTGCTTGTGGTTTTTCTGCTAAACTCATTTACGTTTTTATCATTAACGATATCAAGTCCATTCCCAGTTCCATATCTACAAAATCGATTACTATCAGAAAGTCACTCACAACCATTCTTATGTTTTAGTCTCTATGGTTTCCCTGTACCATTTTTGTTTTTATCAGACAAATTTTCCCCCGTTCATTAGAATTTGTTTATTCTTGAACCCTTTTGCCAGCTTCCTTGATTGAAGTGTTAACAAAAGAATATAAATGCTTGTGGTACTCTAATAAATCGGCATAACTACTAGGCATATTCGGAACGTCCTTTGCGGAACTTTTCGAAATTTCGTTAACTCAGAATTTCGGAACTTCAGAATATACCGATTGGTTTTTTAATTCAAAAATTGTGTGTCAAAATGTGTGTCAACCGTGTATATCGATATGAGGGGTACCAAAGGAAGGTGTCAAAATGGAGGTGGGCTGAACGGAGGATCCCATTCTAACAATATTAGTTGTCTTATGGCAAAGTGCGCCATCTTTTTCTACCAACCTAATAATCAATAGAACCTTATTGATTTTTGAAACTATTGAATTTACACACTACTACCGACGTAGAATAGAAAATCCATCATCTTCTTTTTACGGGTAAGGTCGTCTGTATTCTGTGTTGTGTAGCTTTCCTATCCACCTAGTTGTAGCTGCCCTATCCACCTCCATTTTTTTCTGCTGTCATTCAACATGCCTGTAGTTTTGTATCCCGTGCTGAGGAGTATTTTGGAACACATGGAAGCTAATTGCAGGTACGATTTTTATATTTTGTTCAGCTTTGAATATGTTATTTTCTTATCAGATTCTCCCTATCTGGACGATGCCCCGAAATATCCAGAGTTGAAAAAAGTGTTCCGTTGCGTGTGAAAACAATATTGTTCTCGGATAATACTTTCTCAATTAATAACATTAAATACAAAGTTTTCTTCGAAATACCAAGAATGAGGATAATGTACACACTGTTGCCTATTAGAATGCCAAACCATCCGCTTACTATGAGAATATATCACTTCAACACAAAAGTTTTTGCTGAGAAAAAGTTTTCGAGGAATTACGGAATTGAAGAAGCTCTTAGAAAAGTTATGGAATACTTTTTTGGAGGAAGAAGCAATATTCATGTCCAGTGCGTCACAGTTTTCGATAATGGACTTTCCAATTTGAAAGTCAGTGTACTAGAAAATTCGGTCTTTGGTGTGCCAATATTTCATCCAATTGTTCAGAGGAGTCCTCTGAAAGAGTTACATATCGATGTATGTCATCCCAATGATTTTGAAAATCCCCTCGTCCGGACAGCTGAAAAAATTATAATAATGGATTATGATTACGAGGAGCCGGATAATTGGTTGGAAACGCATAGAGACTTGCCCAATAAAGAAGTGATAATCCGTACATATGAACACGGTTTCACCAACATCAAAATTTTGGACCTGATTGAATATTGGAGGAAAACTCGTAGAGCTATTGAATCAAGTTTTTCTATTCTTAAATCAGATAGAGACTCCATCGAAAAATTAATGGAAAATATTAAGGAAAGATTTCAAGGAACTTGTGAGGAAGTGAAGGTGACCAATACGAAGTGAGTATCTGAAACGAAAGTGTATTTCTTACTGATATTTTTCAGGACATTCTTCGATATCAATGCTGTTTCAATACAAATCGATTCGGAATCAAAAATTGTGGTCTATGGAGGCAAAACTTATTACTGGTCTGAAGTGGTCTCGAAAGTTGTGATCAAAGTTATGGCTGTTGGATCGTCTGCAGAAATTCAGAAGGAGGAAACTGAGCCATTGGAGGAGCCAAAGATAGTTCCTAGAAAGCCTTTTAATTACTTTGCAATTGTGATTCCCTTGTTGACCTTATTGATCGCATATTTTTTCTGGTTACATTTATTTCTCGAACATATTCATCATTTGACTCCATCAGATTAACCTAAAATACAATTTCTTAAAAGTCGTTAAAGCATCATAAAGCCATTTAAAACTCATTTCAATGTATCGGTCGTTTTTCCCCCACTTCAATTTTCCCTTGCATCACTCTCCCTTATTTTTATTAACTCTTGAATTTGACTTTAATAAATCTGTAAAACCAACCATCTGTACCACTTTCATTCTGAACCAACTCCTCGCATGGCTGGTTGGTCCTACAATTTGAAACGTAGTCAAGGAAATCGCTTTTATACGCAGGTGAAAAATTGGTTCGCAAAAAACATGCATGATGAATTCAGGTTCCTATTATTCATTGCGATCAATTCGCGCGAAAACTAATTATGAGAAACAACTATGGATGAAGGCTTCAACGATATCACAGAATTTCCAATTCGAAATTTCAGCCTTCTGAAAAAAGGAACTACAAATTTTCTATACGGTGGAAATGTTATAATTAGAACAGTAACATTGAGAGAAGAATGTAAACAGGCAATAACCAGGAAGAATTCCACAATAACTGCAAATAAAAAATCAGTACAATTGTTTTTGAATAATTCTTACTTTGCGCTACATTGATACCTATCAAAACCAGACCTGTGCGGCAACAAAATGTTTTCGGCAATTCGGCAACTCGGCAATTTGCCGAATACTTTTCGGCAACGTTCGGCAACTCTGCAATTGCCGAAAAAAATTTCGGCAATTTCGGCAACTTTCGGCAATTTTTGGCAACAAAAGTTTTGCGTCTTTTTTTAGTAAGATCGATACGTAACTCACCTGAAAATGCTTCTATCCGGCTCAGAACTACAGAAAATGTGTTTCATAAGATCCTTAAAAAAGCAATTACAAAAATTGGCAACTCAAGACCACATTTTTTATGCAAACTATTTCTCTTTAGCAATAGAGGGTATTCCAATGGTTGAAAATATTTGTTCCGATTGTCGTTTTTCTTGATAACTCACCATACAATGATGAGGAGTAGCTCCAAATTGTGCGAAAAATCCCAAAATATACCCAGATACCAATGGATATAAAGGTACAGGTTGCATAAGAAACGTTAGATGGATATCAGTAAAACAACAAGCTAGCTAAAAATTTGAAGTTGAAAATGACCAAAAAAGTTCAATTTTTTCAAAAATTCCACCTGAAAATTTAACAAAAAAGTATCTAAAGTTATCAATTTTATCACTTTTGAACAAAATGAGATAAATGGAAAATGCGTCAAACAGCAATGAGATGATACCAATGACGTGGTAATAGGTGATAAGCCAGTAGGGAGTGGAAAAGCCAATGTCATACATTCAAATGAGTTCCGTGTAAGGGAAAGTGACGACTTGAGAAAAATTGCCAGCTAAAAACAGGAAATCAGTTGGCTGGCAAACAGGTGAACTTTTTTCTTGATGGGGCGGAGACGTCATTAGCGATACCATAGTGAATGAACAAAGCTAGAAGATAAAGTTAACAGATCCAATTTTTCAAAAACCGAAAACTAGGAAGTTGATGTGTTGACGCCTTTCGTCTCCTATGTACATTTCTGTATCTTATCTTTATTTCTGCCTCTTATCTATATATTTGTCTCTTATTCCCCCTATTCATTCTTCTATTCTACTCACCAAATGGCTGGTGATTGATTTTCCACCGGTCTCAAATTTCTTTGATTTTCATCAAAATTCCTTGTTTCAAAATGATCTGTAACTGAATCTGGATCTTTTGAAGTGTAATCTCTATTTTCCTGAATATTTCTATTTATTTGCACAAACCAATGGCGATAAAACTCTTCCTGATCTATCAGATGGCCAAGGTGGTATGATTACAGAACGGTCGTGACAAGAGCAGCGGCACGGCGCCAAATAGAAGATCGGATGGCAGCCCTCGAACTCAACGAACGGAGAAGCCACGGCTGGCCGAAGTTCAACCCAACTAAGGAAAGCTTCCGCAGCTTCATCCAGCGAGTCAACGAGCATGCCAACGCCACCATGCGGACGGAAGCGGATGCACTGAGGGCTCTACCAACAATGCTGTCCGAAGAATATCTGGAAGCCTACCGAGCTGGAATCAACGCGAACGACACCTGGCGGACAATACTGGACAAAATCCGAGATGCTGTGCTCACACCTGCCAAATGCTCGGAGTTCCAAGCCAAGCTGTCCGCTTTATCCCAAGGTGGGCTGTCTGTTCAAGAATTTGCGAAGCAACGATCGACGATTGGCGCGTTCAACGATTCCATTGGATGCATGATGGTAAGGAGCGGCCATTTTGTGGTGGATTCCAAGTTTCTTCATCGATTCCTTGAACACAGTTGAGGTGAAAGCTGTTTCACAGTCGGTCGTGATTGATTCAGGCATGCCATGTTGACTGCTTCCTTGATTTGCTTCGCAAATTCTTGAACAGACAGCCCACCTTGGGATAAAGCGGACAGCTTGGCTTGGAACTCCGAGCATTTGGCAGGTGTGAGCACAGCATCTCGGATTTTGTCCAGTATTGTCCGCCAGGTGTCGTTCGCGTTGATTCCAGCTCGGTAGGCTTCCAGATATTCTTCGGACAGCATTGTTGGTAGAGCCCTCAGTGCATCCGCTTCCGTCCGCATGGTGGCGTTGGCATGCTCGTTGACTCGCTGGATGAAGCTGCGGAAGCTTTCCTTAGTTGGGTTGAACTTCGGCCAGCCGTGGCTTCTCCGTTCGTTGAGTTCGAGGGCTGCCATCCGATCTTCTATTTGGCGCCGTGCCGCTGCTCTTGTCACGACCGTTCTGTAATCATACCACCTTGGCCATCTGATAGATCAGGAAGAGTTTTATCGCCATTGGTTTGTGCAAATAAATAGAAATATTCAGGAAAATAGAGATTACACTTCAAAAGATCCAGATTCAGTTACAGATCATTTTGAAACAAGGAATTTTGATGAAAATCAAAGAAATTTGAGACCGGTGGAAAATCAATTACCAGCCATTTGGTGAGTAGAATAGAAGAATGAATATGTTCTCAGGGATGTCCGGCTTTCGTCCGAAGATTATTTCAGACGCAGCCAACTTCGTTGTCGTGTCAGGGGTGTTGTTTATTGAGAATAT